GGGCCAGGCGGTAAACGCGTGAATCAAGAAGGAATGGAGGAGTACACAGGCATACTCTGCGACCCTTGGTGCTTGAGAACCCTCACGAGCAAGGTGTACAAGGCTGTGGTAAAGCTTGCAATGCTCTAAGGCAAGTAGAGCTTGTCCTGTGTAAGCGCCATGAAAGTCAGCCCGCTTAAAGGCAGTTGGCACGATAAATCCTCCAAGACGAGCAGGACTAATACGCCTGGCAGGACGGAATTCCGCGACCCTGAGCAGGCGCTGCATAATGCCTTTTCCAGGGAAGGTGCCCTTATAAGGGCGCTATCAAGCCACAACTTTACGTCCCAAACGCCCCCTTGCCCGCCCGCCCACAAATGGACGACTGTTCCAGACGCTCTAATTGATTCATTTGCTAAGCAAATTATGAAGCGAAGGGATTGGTATGAAGCGGCCGTGATGCTGCATGGATATATGAGTACACATATGCAGCCGTACCTTCGGTAGCGGTTATTGGTAAGATGCCTTCGGGAAACTCGTCCAAAATTGATTACTAACACAGTGAGAACGAAGGCTCTTTTTTCGCAGGATTTTGACCGTTTCACTCCGTTCTTTCGCCATTTCCCCACTATATAGCGCCCTACTAGCATTTTAGGCCGAGCACCTCATCGTGCCAACTGCGCTTAAGGTTCACGAGCAAACTCCCTGGCGGCGGTCATGCAACACGAGAGTAGGAATATAGAAGACTGCCATTGCAACAACCATAAAAGAGAAAATAAAGAAACAAGAAGTAAAATTTACGCGAAGAACAGAAAATAACAAGATGTAAAAACACTCATCACGACACACCTGTATTTTGACTCTCAAGCTTCGGCATAGGCGAAGTGCTAGGGGTTACCATTTCCGGAATAGCATTCTGTAATGAACAGAAATCAAAATCAAAAATCAAAACAAAAACTAAACAAAGCTGAGAAACAACATAAATGCGATTACTTTTTTGATTTTACTCTGCGGTATTTTAGGCGGTTTCGGTTCATGTTGTTGTTGTTGTTGCTGTTGTTGTTGTTTACGAGGCAATGCAGTTACCCGAGATGATGGTGACTACAAATTAATTAATGAACGAAAAAAGACAAGACATAAATCAGTTATATTTCGATCCATACTTCTGATCTACTCGTTGACTGTTCCGGACGTTTCACAAGATGAGCTGATAAGGGTGAAGGCGAGGGTAAAGGCGAATAACTACTATGAAGGTCCTTCTGAAAAGGAATGCAAGTATTAATCAATTAACGAAAAGCTTGAAGGAACTCACATAGCTACCACTTCCTTTGACCTTTTTCCTAGGCGATGAAATATTGACCGTTAAATCACTACTACCGCTCTGTTGAAGCTTCAACGAAGAGAGGTTAGCACTACTCCGTATCCCTGAAAATGGAGAATCAAGGAAGCAACCATAAGAAACATCCGCAAATCTGAGCTTACTGACAACCCCCGCGCTCGAGTAGTACACGGTCGTCCTTCCTTGTGCAAGTAGTACAGCCCCCAAGCTAGAGACTGTCCCACTCTCGCGACTCCACAGCGAGCGAGGAGCGAGCTACAGCCGCTGAAAGTTCTAGTTCTAACGCCCGCCCAGTTGGACCGCCCACTTGCTAGATGCCCTCTGACGGAGGGCCGCTCAGTTGTTCTTTGTTGGGCGGCGGGCATATAACTGGAAAGCATGCCCTTTTTGCTTACCGCTCGCGAACATGAGTGATTCTGCTCTCCTTTATTACATTTTATTCATTAGGAGCACATACAGTCAACTCCAACCCATCTCGCAAGGTAAAACGCGTAAAAATCACGAGCGACCTAATTTTCGTGGCGCAAAAGCTCGTCGCACTAGCACGTCGCACACGCACGTCGCAAAGATGAACGCTACCGTGACCCTAAATTCGGACGCCGAGTTTTTGAAAGTTTTTTCTTTTTCAAGAGTTTTTCGTCCGTGTTTTTGTTGTTTTTCGTATTCTTTTCTTTGCACTGGATGATATCCACTACTGGGAGATGTGATAAAGGGATTTGTGAGCCAGGGGTTGCACAGAGACCGCAGGGAGGTGTGACTGTCAGGGAGCGATTTTGTTTATGGTGTTCTTGAGGACTCTTCTTGCTTTTTTTCTTCTTTGGGGAATTACTTATCAGCTACTGTTTCATAATTGAAAAGCAACTATCCATGACACTTTTATCGCGGGAGCTGTCTTTGAATGGTTTTGGCTCTATTGTGGTTGATGAGATGCCATGTCGCTCCTAGTAATGTGGTCTTTTCTCTTCCTAGGCTTGAAGATTCGAGCAGGGTTTTAAAATAGTCTTCGCGCTCAAGCGATTATTAGGCTTACTTCCATGCACAAGAAGTTTGGCGTGGGGTTTGTCTTCGAATACCATCCCCGAGAGCAAGAATTATAATTATGTGTAGTGGATGCTCAATCACGAATTAGCAGCCGACAAGTGATTCCCCACTAGAGAACGAAGCAAAGGAAACCATGAGAACACCCAAACAAAACCCCTCCCTGAAAACCACACAGCCTCATTGTACGAGTTTCCCGAGCCCGCCTGCAATTCGGCACCCTGCGGCCATTGTGCAGCCCCTGGCTCAGAAATCGTTTCTTCACATAAATCAAAAGCAGATGCCATCCAACACTAAACATAAAAAACGAAGAACAAATACACCGGAACAGAACTTTCAAAACTTTGCGCGTGGAACAACGGTATGGAATGTATGACGAGCTTTTGCACCAGTGCGTCGCATTACTGCTCAGTTCAAGCAGCGTACAAATGCATCTTGCATTGCGAAGAGGGCTGCTACCACAACTTGTTAGCTCGCAAAAAAGTAGACATACTATCATTCTCTGCGAGCATATAAAATCGTCCTACGACGCTGCAGGCAACAAAATACATCCACGCAGTTCATCATCTAAGTTGCTATCTTGCAAGCTGAAAAGAACAAATCCCATAAGGGTCACGCGTCTGCAGCCGCTTTATCTCGCCTTTTCTAGTGACGAAAACGGTATACTGTGTGCGAATGCGGACCCGGATGCCAAATGCCGGAGCCATTTCGCGGATTACTTGATCGCGAGAACTGCTCCTAAAACTGGGCAGGTATTCCTTTCCTTTGCCCTCTATATTGAAGAAAAGGCTCGTAGTTTCAGAACCCTGAACTGAACCTTGAATGCTCTTCACCTAATGCCCCTATCCACTCGTTATTTACTGCATTTGTAATTTTTATATGAACAATCAGCAATAAAGTAGGCATTGTTGAAGACTGAACGAACGTTGGAAACGAATCAAACGACACATGAACAACAGTTTATGAACAAACCTGTTGCTGAGCTATGATCCTTACTGGTATCCAAAAAAGAAGGTTCCTCATGTCCACGTCTTAACAACCCGAGTGATTTCGCATCCATGTTGGAAAAGTCGGGAAAATCCGCCGGTCCTCTGTAAATTTCAAGAAAGATGCTTCAACAGATCTGCTGATAAACGAGTAGCTATAACTTGTTCATTATACCCAAAAAGCTTTACATACCCCTTTTTCTCGACAGAGGTTGATGGCTTCATAACGGCAAGATAATCTGCACCTAAATGTACGAATAATGCCAAAAATTCACGGCGGTCCATGAAAAAGTCGCAAAAGACATACCTTCTGTAGTCCATTCTGGATGAGCCGCGGGATAATATGGTGGAATGTGCTCGGGACGGGTCTGAACAGGAAGATGTAAGCATAATAACGATGAGAGCAGAATAAGGAGGACGCTATGGGCCTCGGCCTGCAATTTTTAGCCACCGCCAAATGATTCGTTTGGAAACCAGCCCTCGTGAGGGTGGGGCGTGTAAGCAGTTCCAGGGTGGCTGAACCACTCCGTACGATCAAATCTAACACAGTAAATAGCCCATCCATTAAGGACCTCGTTCTCCTTTAGAAACTGCGTAGCGCTGACGCAGAACTGCAGATCAATCTCTCTAGAGGCAAATAGAGTGAAAAATTAAGCAAGTGCTTGGAATTCAGTAGCCACTCCTAGAAAGTGGGGAAATTCTTCCAATGCTTTTCTGCAAAATTTGTCGGCCTAATAATGATACTCTTAACGCTGTTGCAATATATTTAATTTAGTGCAGTAGCCCGCAGTATATGGTGTTCTTTACCAGGTTCTTCGCTACCTATTTCTTCAGTTCTTCGATTTCTTTTTATGTTGATTACTGCTTGTTATTATTACTGGATGATGCGAAGCGTGATAAAGGAACGAGAATTTCACCCAATTCTGGGGAGAAGGAAGATCTGGGTGGGAGGGTCCACAGCGGCCCACACCAGAGGCAGGGTTTGACGTGCGTTGGGGTCTCTAGCAATGGGAGGCCGTATTTTGTCGCTAAGGGAGAGAAGGCGTACTTCCCTTCGAAAAAAAGCGGTTTCGGTTATTCATTCTCCTCTCTCTACTGCGCTACTTTTCCATCTCGGAAGTTTTGCTGGGAAGAATAATTTTTGAGAACTGGAATCAGGAAGAGAGGTGTGGATTTGGGAAATTTGAGAAGAGGGGATCGGATTGAGGGATGGTGAAAGGGAAGAGGTCGTATCAGAGGGCGGTGGCCCGGATTCCGCGAGAATTTTTCACAACGGCGGGACATGCCGTGCCAGAGCTCCTCCTGAGCTCAGACGAAAAAGCTCTGGCCGAAAAATGACTGCACTGGTTTGAAGTGCCTGCACAAACACAGCATTTGAGAACCAGCTCGATCTTCCTTTACGGTGAGAAAAACTCGAAAGTACTCATAAATATCGTGAGTTACTCAGCTTTATAAGAATACCCTCAAATTCGGCTGAGTGCTCAGCCCTCCATTCGTGATGAACATAGGCTGCAGAATAAGCGGAACTATGGAAACGAAAAACCACAAAAACACCATGATTATAAAAAAAATTCAAAACATTAGAAGCAAATAATGCAGAGCATGAAAAAAATGAATCAAAAATGGAACAGTGCCATTTAGTGTTAGACAGTAATTATAAAACCTTGGATTGAAAATACAAACTTCTAATTCCTTTGCACTTGGTTGAGGAGCGAACAACGGTCTCATATTTGGATGAGCAACGGGAAATTGACACATCTGCAAAGGGAACAAAAAGCTAACTCGTAAACCTGTAGCAGTAAAATTTATCCTTACCGGTTTCGGATGACCAACGTTTCCGACTTGCAGCAAGTAATCCCGCATTTCTACAGGTGAAAATTTCAACTTGCTGAAGGTGAGATTCATGTCATCAGGGCATATTTCCGTTCGTCCAGCTGAAACTTTTCCATTCAATAAGGGCTAAAAGTAACTTAAAAGTATGAATTACTGATAACTGGACCCATTAACACATTGCGCACATTGTTAAGAGGGAATCTCCGAACCATTCCAAAATTTTTCACAAAGAAAATCGGTATCACCTAGTTTCAACTTTAAAATGGTTTATTGATATTCCGTGTCCAAAACGTGGCCTCATCACTTCAAAAGAAAGAAAAGAGAGAAATGTATGACACACCATGTGTGTCGTGCGTGCGGAACTCGTTAAAAATGTTCTGCTCTATAGGATTATTCTTAAAACATAAGATTATTAAAAAAGAAGTTTCATTGAGGCCAGCATCACTATAATCTAACGCAATGCTGTACCAAACTGTAGATTTTACTGTACAAGGACAATATCTTGGCGAATGTTCATAAAAATAAAAAAAATCATGCTTACCATGTTCGGCCAGCAATTTACTCCGAGACCATAATTCGATCATAAATCGGCGCATAACATCTGTGAGAACATTAAGTGAATCTCCGGATACTGATGAGAAGCCAATATTCTCGAGGATATGACCCGTGGCCGATCGTAGACCTTGCCGAGCCACCTCCTCGGGCGATGGCCACGATCCCATCGCATTTGTCACAGTTCACGGTGGACTAAAATAAGAAAGAAACATTTCAAATAATCCTTGAATGGTCATATACTAACCTAAATACTAAAAGAGCATTCAAATAATGCAGATTTCAGGTCTGATTTCGTCGCTCCTCTGAGCAAGAGAATAACTTTGTAAATGCTGGTGCCAGGAATAAAATTGTAGCGTTAAACTGATTATCCCCTTTACATTCATAGAAGTCAAATGTACAAGTAAACGACTAGAAGCAGTAGAAGAAAAATCAAAAAAGGTAACCGAAAAATCGGCGGGAAAACCCAAGCCCCCATGCAGAAATGCACAATCAAAAGAATAACGCACTTCTAAACAATGATGGTCCATGATCATGCGCTGGTGACTACAAATCACTTATTGGTTTCACATTCTTAGGACACATATATTTAGTGCTAAGCTATTTTTGTATTCATCTGCTGACTCAGTTTTCCCAAATACTATGTGAGATTCACGTGCAAGGAGGCCGATCAATAGCGCACTACGCACCGCGTGTGATGCCAAACCAGCTCCGGAATATCGTCGACAAGGTTTCCATGCAGGACCAGCCTGGAAATGAATTCAACATGCCGACTTCTTTCGCGATGAATTTTTGAGAAATGCGACCGGAATTGCAGACACTGGTTCATACTGACGAACTCTCATTTACAATAACTCCGAGGAGGAGTCTGAGAAAGAGAAATAGAAACAGTTCCTTGCAACTTGATACCAATAAGATAGTGAGTGGTTCAGGGGCAATGAAAAACTCGGGTGAAGCGGTTAGAAACGCATCAGTTTAACATTATCTACTCAATGAAAAATAAAGTTTTGAGATCCGTCTAGAAAGTTAGAGATCTTGGGTATTTCTGTGATTACAAGCTAAATTCCAGTACACACCATAGTGTACGTGACAAGGGGTATGCGAAGAATCTTTAATGTATTCGAAGCTCTGCGCTCTAAACTGATGCGCACCTATAAAATTTACGTGTGTCCTGTTTTAGATTGTAGAACCACTGCTTTCAATAAAACTTAAAAAATGCACATCCAAGCCCTAGAAGGGGTAGAAAATAATTTCACACGCAGGTTAATGTTTGGATGTTCGGGGTTCAACTTTTCCAGTATCTCTACTGGTTCTGTTACAATTCCTCTCGCGGGCTAAAATTGTTGGGATGGAGGGAGAAAAGACATGATTTAGCTATGACTTTCAAAATTCCAAGGAAATTAACAAAACTAGATGTCACAGACTTGTTCATTGTGTTGCCAGCCAGGACAAGGGATAGCTTGGACTAGTTTGAAAGCCAGTAATGCCAAATCTAGGTATCACTCGAACTTTTTTGTAGTTGGTTTGCTCATACTTCAATTCTTTGTCGCGCTCAAATATATTTCTTTCGAAGTATGTTACTTTTGAGAAACATGTTGTTGAGTACATTTGAATGATTTTTTATGCTGTGCAGTGATAATTACAGGCTGCTTGATGTTTAAATCGTTTGTTTTCTCGTTACATCTTGTGTTGACATGTCCTATAAATATACTCCCTATCCCTGAGACTGAGTGGGCCTGTCCATTGAACATGGCACAGAACTGGTTATTCGTGAGATATCCATCTTGTGCTCTGTTCGACAGAGACACGACGTTGAATGTGTCAGATTGAAAGTATCTCTCTAGAGCACAGCCATCACAACATTTAGTTGAAGTACGCAGCCACGCCTACCTCATCTCAGGGATTTCGAGTGTAAGTGAACTGTATCGTCTGCTTAGGCATTGTAAATAGTCTGGGACCTGACGAAACGGCGGTTGGGAGAAAAGCAAAAAATAGTCATCGATCGGAGAATCGCCAACCGCTAGTTTCGCCGAACCGCCGCGGTTCGGCGGTTGGGCGAAAAGCAATAAATGCGTATCGATTTCGCTGGCGAAAAACGCCAGGCGATCGAGCTAGCGTTTCGTCGAAGGCGAAAAACGTCGCGGTTTGGCGAAACGCCCGTCGATTCGTATCGATTTCGCCCAACCGCCAGTCGATACTTATTAAAAACTTTTCGCCGAACCGCTACGTTCCAGAGAAACGGTGGACCGGAGACTGAATGCCTTAGCGTGCGTGTCAAAGTCCTGAGCTCTGCGCAGGCATGATAAGCGTGCGGTCGGCGTTGCAAGATGCGCTATGAACTTGACGATGTTGTAGTTTCCCGCCACACGAAAGTGCTGAAGGGAATCAGGAGTTGTTATTTCCGTCAAGGGTCGAAGATGGATGGCGCTGCCATATCGGCAGAAGAATTGAAGATCAGGTGAGTAGGATGATTTGGGCTCGTAACATAGCTCACAAACAGGACGAACCCAGACATTTCTGACGACCGGTTCCAAGCGTGCAGGGTAGCATCGTTGTGTGAAACACATAGGGAGGGGGCTCGTACACACATAGGGGGAGGGGGTCGTATGTGCCTTTGAGAGAGATTTGCCGCGTTGGGAAAAATCGTTCCTGGTTGTTTATGAGTTTTCGTGGTTTTTCCCCTTTCACATTTGCTATATTCACTATACCCCGTCTGTGCGTCTCTGTTCGCTACATGCAGGATATCAACCGGGTTTCATTTGGCTTTCGCAAAGCGTTCTTCTGCCCTTTTCTCTACTTGTTTATCAGTCAGCGGCTTCGAATTCGTAGCAGAGCCTCACTACCAGGGTGTTTTAACCACAGTAGCGAAAAATATCCGCCGCTTCCCAATCGTTTAGCAGGTTTGGAATGAGATCTGATAACAGCGCCCAGAAACGCTTCTAGGAATATACATCTCATCCTGATTGGCCACTTGGTATCCTTCCCTTTCAAGACCTGATTTCATGGAATATGCTTCCAAATACACACCTTATCTCTGAGCCAGAGTAGGAGTGGCATTTGAACATGGCACGGAATTGTTACTCGTGGAATATTCCAGTCTGGGACAACTGTCATCTTGTTCTGTGTTGGACAGAGACACGACAACAGTTGTGTCAAGATGGAAATATTCCACCAGAAGCATAGACACCTTCAGGTTAAGTTGAAATGCAGCCACGCCTACCTGATCTCAGGGATTCCGAGAATACCTCCCTGCACACTTTCACCACCAAGTTTAGAACTGGGTTTTTCATCAGACCATTTCGCGTGTCTTCTGTTACTTTTCAGATTATCTCTGGCGCGAACAAGGCTTCAAGGGTCTCAAGAGCTTCAGAGTGATAACAAGTGGCTCGGGAGAACTTTGACACACAAACAGATCCATCGGTAGTCCAGGATACTTGCTGCAATGACCTATACTGTTTCCTCCTGTTTCCTGGTCATATTTCACCAGTGAAACCTAAACATACGGTTCAAAAACTTTAGGTTTCACATGCTTATTTGATGAACGGCTGTGACACGCTGTTCTGAACCCCATAGATTTGTTTCCTGGATCATCAATAAAGTAAATGAGCACGTTATTCACGATGCCATCCAGTAAATAAGCACTCTATTCATGATACCATACAAGTTTCAAAGGTTCATAACGGTGGTTGAGTACGACTGATGGGCCAAGCTTTCAGATGATGTACAATGAACGGTAAGTACACTCCCTATCCCTGAGTCAGAGTAGGCGTGGCATTTGAACATGGCACGGAATTGGTTACTCGTGGAATATTCCAGTCTGGGACAACTGTCATCTTGTTCTGGTTGGACAGAGACACGACAACAATTGTGTCAAGATGAAAATATCTCACCAGAAGCATAGACACCTTCAGGTTAAGTTGAAGCATGCGGCCACGCCTACCCGATCTCAGGGATTTCGAGTATACAAGTTATATAATCATGATGCTCTGCAAACGATAGAGCATGTGAAGCGTGAGCTGCATCGCAGCCAAAACGCCCCCCCCCCCCCTCCCCGTCGATTGATGCGGTCTCAATGACATCACTAGTGGAGAAGAGGCGCTCCAGTCAACGCCCCGTCGCACGCCCTATCATTTGCAGAGATCTGCCTGTACATATCATGCTATAGTGAACGTTCCAATCACACAATCATGTAGATCATTTCGTAAAGCACGTTGAAATCCGACAATCGTCTTACGGTGAATCCTTTACCGAAGAAATCCCCATTGCCAACGATAACGTTATAGTAGTCATTAGAGTTTTTGCGGAAGTTCCTGAATGTGTTTTCAATGTGGTCTTCGATCAGTGCTAAATATAGTCAAATTACTACTAGGGTGGAAAATGTCATACAGCCTAGAAAGGTAATTTTGAATTGGATATTCCTTCAACGATCGAGATTCAATGAACAAGGAAATTACCTTGTGTAATTAGAATTACCTGAGGCAAGCGTCCGTCTACTGAGGGTTCTCTTTTCTATTCTCTCAGAATTCCGGCTACCGCGATGAAAAGAAATCCCGATCTCAAATCAAAATAGAATTTCTGTCAATTATCAACATTCTTATTTTCAGATGATCTATCAGTTCGTAAGCAGGTGGTAGCAGAAACCATCAAGGGATGGGTAGGCCGAGTATCGCCGTGAGTTCTAACCGAGATATAGAATTTTTTGGAGGCATGGTGGAGCTGGCTGTTGTGGAGTAGGAAGCGATACGGCCTTTTTTGGCTAAGTTCACATGTGACGTCGGCAATCTTTTGGAGACAATTAGAGTAGACTATGCTCGTCGTCACTGTTATGCATTGCCTTTTCCAGCCCTACCAGCAACACATTGCAACTTTTTTCCATGCACATCGTCTTTTGCTGCGGCAGACACTCCCCTCTTTGATAGTTTCTGTCATGGTTATGTGCATGGCTTACGCTGGGCAGCCTGGCTCGTTACCAGCTACCAAGCATCCACCAAAATTCTGCAGTTGTGAGGGGAGAAGAAAAAACTGATCCCATGTCACTGGAACAGCTGACTCTTGCTAGATATCAATCGTCAATATCTTTCCTGATAACCGCGAATGTGGGTGTATAGTGGAATGAACGCAGCCTTGGGGACAACTCACGGGTGGTTTCGCAGGACTATGGGTCCAGCGT